CAGATACAGATACAGATACAGATACAGATACAGATACAGATACAGATACAGATAATAAAAGATACAGATACTTTGGTTGCTGCCATCGAGCTACACCCATTCGAAAATTGTGCCACAGCCCGTATTCATTATTCATTAGATTTATCATAGATCCTTGTCCACTTTGTCAACGCTGCTTGTGATACATATACATTATTAAAGAAACAGTTGTAAACAAGGTGCAAAACTCCCAAAGAACATGACAACACCAACAACAATAATATTCAACAAAAACAGCAACAACAACAACGAAATGCAACAGAAATCACGAAAAAAATATCTCATAGAATACACGTTAGCCATGAGATACAATTACGCTGAAATCTTGTCAGCAAATCAAAACTGCGAGCAAAAACGCTGATTGGCCACAAAAATTCACACAGCTTACAAATAATTACAAAATGCGCTTCGATTGCATGTGAAAAATTAAATCAAAATATATCAGAGGCAGAAAGAGCTTAAAGTCGAAGATTAAGATACACTTAAAAGAGAATTTTTATAATCCAAATTAATTAAGATTTGATATAGGGGAAAACTTTAGAAGAATCAGATAATATTTTGTTATCTTTATTTATATATTTCAAATTTTTGCCATAGACTAAGAAAATATAATATTTTGCTTTTTACATATATTGCTATAAATATTTAACTAGTCTTTAGAAAGAATATAGATACACTATATAAGGTATTAATTGAAAAAGAAGAGTCTCTATTGAATTTTGAGAGTTCCTTATTCTGTCTTATAATAAGAAAAATAAATTTAAGCAATCAAAACTTGAATTATTTTGAGCAGTGTATTTAAAGACAAGCAACTGAAATGCCAGTCAGAAGGCATACGAAGAATGTGCGTTTCGTTGAGCTTTTATATGAATTAACAATAAATTGCATACATAGGCTCGTTGTCTAATGGCTGCTCGGTATGCTTGCTAAATTTGTTATTGTTGCTGGTTGATTGTCTTAACTGACGCTGGCGCATAAATTTACACCTTATTGGCCCCCATAGCGCCCAGAGCGAGTACGTGCCTGGCCAGATTCAGCCACAGCAGAGGCTGGCTAAGACTCGTTTATATAAATACCTGGTAGTGTGCGTGTGTGTGTGTGCGTGTGTATAGATGGATCGCGGATCAGATTGGCAGTTTGCAGTTGCCACTTGTCTATTTGATTTAAAACTTTATAATTAAAGTGGTTTTGACTCAAATTGGTTAATCATATTTATATGTGAAGTATTCCAAAAGCCAGCAAAAAAATAAATTAATAAATGAATAACATTCGAGTGCAAATGAATTGCGAATTGGGCAGCATTTGTATTTGGAATTGGTGGGCTGTGAATATGCGAGTGGATTTAATTTCGAGTCGAGAATTTTGTCATTCTGTGAATTCGTTTTTGCTGGCTTGATGATTGAGCAAATGCTTGATAATTAGACTTGAATTGAGAAATAAAGCAGGTAAAGTTTAATCAGAGTCATTAAGTAGATGCTAACGAGAGAGATATTCGACTCGTTTTCTTCAATTCAAAGCTGTATAAACATTAAGATATATCTTTAATCTCCTTTTGGACAACTATCAAGGAGTAGTTGTAGTTATAGAACGATTCCTTTAAGAGTAGTTAATTTATGTTTCATTTCTGGCCTGCCATAGTTTGGATTTTATGTAAAAGTAAATAATCGCCGCTGGCATTTATAAATCTTGGAGCCTAGTCGTCCCCCTACATTCAAACACAATGTAAACGGCTCAATCACGACGCACGGCATCGGATCGAAGGAGCTGCATGGATCCATGGTTGGCGACACGCATTCGAGGTCATAGCCCAATTCCTTTTGTCGCCGATTCTCTCCGACTGACTGTCAACGAACTGGCCTGCCACTGATACCGGTAGTATGTACACACACTCATACTCAACTGGCTGCCGTTCGATCATCAATAGCCGCTGTACGTATTAGCCGAATGCCATGGCCCCATCCATTGCACAGATGCTCTGCTGCTGGCCCGTTGGCTCGTCTAGGCGACGCTGGTCTCCTTGGTCTCTCGATGCCCAATTGAAATTCGGTGCGCATTGCAATCGATCGCACTTTTTGCCTTCTGATTGTGCGAGCGAGTACCTTTCTAACGTTGTCCGTTGCCGTTGTTGCTGTCGTTGTTGTTGTTGTTGCTGCTGTCGTTGTCGTAGTTCGTTGTTGCTTCTTCGTTTGTCTGCTGTTTGGTTTGCCTGCTCGTCTTCTGGCCTGCTGGCATTGTCGCCCATCTTCATTATCATCCAATGCTGCCGCGTGTTGCATTTGATGATGTGCATCGCCGCCGCCGCCGCCGCTGCTAGCAGAATGCAACAAACAAACGTTGCCTTCATGTCGCCATCGATGTTGTTGTTGTTGCTGTTGTTGCTGTTGTTGCTGTTGCTGCTGTCGTCGGCTGTTTGTTGGTTACCGTTGTCATGATTTGTTGTCGCCAGTTTCTAACCTGGTCATACCACGATTTTTGTCTGCATTTCTTGCCCGGTTCGCTTGAATTGCTTTTGCTTTCGTGGCAGTAGCCAGGCTTAATGCTTCAAGAATCTTAATCATTCCAAAGGTTTTTTCTTGCCTTCTTGAGTATTTCCTGTGCAGCCGGAACTCACCGTCCCTGTAAGGACAAACCTGCCCAGTTTCAAGTCGAAAGTCATCAATCTGAGTGCGGCCGTAACTCCTACTCGACCGCAGAGTGCTCATAACATGTGTGAAATTGACACCACATATGCCATCGGCTAGCCGGCGCTGCAGCGCGCTGGCGGCGGAAACAAAAGCAATTTTACGCTACATTTGCTTAATGATACAACCCTCGGTACCGAAAGGCAGATGTTGCCCGACACTTTTTGGGGCTGTAAAAAAAGAGAAGTGCTGCATCAAGACGGCAAAGACTGAAAATAAAAAGTCAAATATGAATTCTCATTGAATATATTAGAAAAGCCGACAGCCTAGATCTTCTGCAATGGGCTATGAACTAGTTCCGCCAAATTCCATAGATTATAGCCATCCTTGCATCTCTTGCTTTACTCTAGAAATTGAATATGAAAATAGTTTTGTTAACGACATGAAATAGAATTCAGAGCTCGTAGTTCGTAAAGAATTTCTAAAAATTGCCGTTTTTATTTGGATAGATATTGTTTTGGTTTTTTTTTTTTTTTTTATTTATTTATTTTTTTTTTCGGCCCACTACGACACTCGAAATTTATTTTGCAAAATGAGCAGCCATTGGCAGCAATGGGTGGATCGCAATGCGAAGCCCAAGAACACATTTGTAGCCCCATCTGTGCGTCTGCCTCCGACTCGCTGGCAAAAGCCGGGGCCAATGAATCGAGAGCAATGGATTCATTTTTACAAATGGGCCAAGAAGAATGCGCGTCCGCCGCCAGCTCATAGAGCTGAGCTCGCGCAAAGGCAAATGCAGGCTCCGACACAGATACAACAGCCAAAACTGAGCCCTTTCGATCCGTATTCGCCGCTGATTTACATGTACATCGCGTCCGAAATGCATGCCAATAGGCAAAAGGAGAAGAGCTTGCAGCAACATTTCGAGACGCTCAGTCAGCCGAAACACAAACGCAAAAAGTATGTGAAGCCACCCAAACGGGAGTATCCTTATAGGCCGCAGCTCTGCAACCGCCCGCCGCCCAGACCCGAGCGCGGGCGGCCGGTGGCGAAGCCGAAGGTGCCGTGCTGCTTCCAGCACGAGAATCTGAGACTCGATTTCTGGTCGAAGATCGATTACAAAATCTCGCCAAATGCCCTAAGGGCCAAGGCCTCCAAGAAAGTCGTCGAGTTGGCCAAGCCGCGCACCTATCCACCCAAACCCCACTGCCCGCTGCCGGCGAAGCCGGAAGAGCCTGTGCCCAAGCGCACAAAAATGTCTGCGAGGCAGTGGCGCGAGCACCGCATACGCCTCAACAGCCTGTCCTTGCCAAACCCACGTGTTCTGGAGGAGCTGTCCAACAGATGTAATTGCCCGCACTTTCAATGTATATGTAAATTGTGTGGCTGCATGATGCGCACGCCAAGGTAAACCGATTTGAGAGCGCAATGAACTACAGCGTGTACCGTTCAATGCTCTATCAAATCGCTTTTCCATGGATTGCTGCATAATCGGCAGCTATTCGCTAAAATTCAATGTCTAAATTCAACAAACTTTTGAGATTTAATGAAAATATAAAAAAAAAAAAGATAAATTCTCTCGCCTTTTTCATAGACTGATTTAGTTCCCATCGATTCTAAGTATAGTTTGCTGGAATATTCAAATTTTTTTTTATTAATTTACAAAATACTCAGTATAGAATATCTGATATCCCAGTAAGTGACTGGATCAAAACAGATTCAGTTCATTTTTGTAATTGTGTAGCATGCTGTGCATTGTTTTATATTCTGGGAAAGCTTTTCATTGTTTCTGAGAGCCACTTCAAAAAAACATCTGCTAGCCAGTGAAAAAAAAAATATATTTATATAAATTTTTCGAATCAAAAGTCTATGTATTGCATACTCGTTGATTCACGAAACTTGTGAAGACTCCTATTCATCAAGATGAGCTTTAACGATGAGGATGGCGAGCCATCAGAGCGGCGTGTGGTGGAGGAGGAGGAGAAGCCGGCGCCTTCGTGGGTTGCGTGGTGCGAGCGCAACTCTCAGCCCCTTAAGCGAAACCTACCCAGAGAGCCTCGCTATCTGACGCGCTGGCAAAAGCCTGGACCCATGAGGAAAAAGGAATGGAAACAGTTCTTCGCTTGGGCATTGGAGAAAGCGATGCCAAAGGAGCTGCCCATTGTGGAGGTGCCCATACCGTGCGCTCCCAAATACTTGCCATGTGCCCGTCCGCCGAAAAAACCGGATCCAGAGGCTCTGGCGGAGAAAATGGAGCAGCTGTCTAAGCCACTTGAGCGTAAGATGACACCCAAATACGAGAAGGAAAAACCCGTCTATCCCTACTCTCCGGTCATCGTGTGGGGCCAGCCTGCAAAGCACGATAAGGGCCGACCTTTCCCGCCACCCTTTATACCCTGCTTTTTCTCCAACGACGAACTAGAAGATGATTTCTGGGCCGAGATGCGTTTCCCCGTGCGTCCGGCCGCCCTCAAAGCGCGCCCATCTCCGCGGATACTTAGCTTGGCGAAGCCCCAGGTCAAGCCGCAAAATCCGCCACACTGTCCCATTCCGAGGAGGACACCTGACCCACTGGATGTGCCGCCACCGAAGCGCAAGAAGTTCACACCACAAGGATGGCGTTTGCACCAAATACGGTTGATCTACCTCTCAAAGCCGGTGTCAAGACCAGAGTTCGAGTATTTCTACATGTGAATCAATTAGGCTTATTTGTGTGTTTTAAATTTTATGTACTTAGTCCGGAGCTCACATTAAAAATGTAAAGTTAAATCCCAGCCGCGACTTTTCGTTATTTACGAACGTAATTTGCAGTCTTCAATTTCACGTAATTGCCCAGCCAAGCCAAAGTCGCTAAAAAATTAACCATTTCACGCTGATAACAATTTCAATTTGTATCCTTGACGGGCCTTAAACAGAAGCCACTACCATGGCACAGGGGCCACAAAACATAATCCAAGCGCCCGGCCAGATCTGCCTGGCGACCAACCAAGCTGCACTTAGTCATGGCAGCCGCATTAGAGTCTTCCAGTCAAAGGTGAGCTGCCGCACAGAATGGCATTGTGTGGCAATAGCCTCTGTGCCTCCTCAGCCTCATGCGCGCCGCCTCCTCCGACTGGCCGAGTGGCCGTCTGGCAGCCGCCAGCTCCAAATTGCTGTTTATCAAGCGTAGCAAACATGCGTCACATTGACTTTGGCTGGCCCGGCTAGGATCAAGGTTCACAAATGATCATCAGTCAAATCAATTAGATAATTGAATGAATGATTTGTAAAATCCGATTATGTGCGCTCTTCCTCACACACACACACACACACACATATGTGTATAAATGAATGCTTGCGTGTGTCTGTCTGTATCTGTTGTTTGCATGCCTTGTCTTGCCCTTGCTTGCTGAATATGCATTATGAACGCATCAACTTGCGTAAGAGCCAAACAATTGCTTATTATATTCAATTAGTAAAGAAAAGGAAATCTTTATCACCATTGAAGCGCAGCCAAAATGAACTGCAACAAAGCTGGAATTAGCCAAAGTTCATGATACTTTAACTTAATCAGATTTTCTTATCATAAATTCTTAAGCTGAAAGCCTTACTGATAACGAAGCTTTGTTAATATGGATGTAATTCACTATATTATTTTTAATCAAAGTACGTTAATCTATAGAAATAATTTATAGCTGATCGTTTTCCCTAGTTTAAGGAACTTTATCAATGTCTTAAGTCGTGATCCTCTACCAATACTTTTTGCGTTTCTCAATAATATATATTAATTCCATTAGCTCATTTCGATACTCACATTATTCAGCATATATAATAACATGTTGAGTACCTGCTGAAGAGGCCGCTTAGCAGCTACCAACTTTATGCCAAAAGCCACAATTTTTCATTACATTTTTCCACGGCAGGTCGTTAAATATGCTAAAAAGCGAAACTTTAGACAATTTCGGTCTCTCACTGCAATGCCGCGACTCGCAACGACAGTTGGCCGAAATACGTGGCTATAGCAAGAGAATCAGCAACAGCTACGGCAATCAGCATAACGAATTGCCCAAATAATACAACCAATTCGTGGCATGGATTTTGTATGGGCAAAGGATTGCCTCTTGTATTGAATATTATTGATAAAACTTATGCCACAAGACAAACGGACAGACAGACAGACAGACAGCAGGCAGGCAGGCGATTCAATAATTTAGCACTCGTTCTCGATTTTCGGGGCAAGTGTAACAACAACAACAACAACGACTATCGAAGCAGCGAGCTGGAGTATCTTATTAAGAATTTTCTACAAGCTGCAACTGCCACAGAGCTGTAGACAATGCCACGCAAGGGGGCCAAGCGACTAGTGGCTCCAACTGTTTTTGTTCTTGTTTGTCTGCAGGCCATGTTGCTGATGATTATGATGATCGCACTGCGCTGACGAGTCTATGTCGATCAGGACTGGGCCACGAGGCGACGTCAGCGCCGATGATGACGATGATGATGATGATGATGAAGTTGATTGGGGATTGTGAAATGCGATGATGTTGCTGCACTTGCGGTGCATACCAAAATAGCTAGCGCCAGGCAGTGTCGCCAATGCGACAACAACATCAGCTACAACAACAGAATCAACAACCAGGCACATTGTCGTTGTCATCATCAGCATCAGTCGACTGGTGCTGCTGCTGCTGCTGCTGAGAGTTGCCTACCAAAGTCCCGTCTTGCGGATTCTTTGTTGACTTTGTTTTATTTATTCAATATACAGTTAGCTTAAGTTAAGCAAAGTAAAAGGGAGATATGCCAAACGAAAATAGAAATAAAATTAGAAAAACAGCAAACATCATATAAATCGTAGGAATTTAGCATTTGAATGCTGCCCAACTGTGCAATACCCGCTCACGTTGGTGAACTTGAAAGAAGCTAAAAATATGAGCACTAAATATGCTATTTTTATTTATTTGTTTCCCCTAAAATAATCCTCTTTTCCATTCAAATATTTACTGTAGAGAAAATATTCATAGAGCAAAGTTTATATACACCATAAACTAATATACTTTCTGCAAAATTTGACGAGTATCCAAGCTCTTTCAGCTGGAATTGGCAAATAATATATGCAAACAAACCTCAATTTCAAATTCACGTTTGAATTCGAATTCATATTCTCGCATTCGCATTGCTCGTTCTGTGGCCTGTGCGATGCCAATATTGGGATTTGACTGAAATTTCCGATTGTGCCTTGGCTGGGAAATGTAACACGTTAATACAAATAAGGGCTGGGCACACAATACGTGTGGGTGTCTCGAGAGAGAGCCGAGTGGACGACTGAGCAGGAGAAAGTGATGTGCAAAAGGAGCAGAAGCAGACCACAAGCTAAGGAGCTGACATTTGTATTTATTAAAAAAATAGAAAAATTGCCAAAAGAAGCTATAAATAAATAATGATTTAAGGTGGTAAAAATGTTTTGTAAAATAAATTATCTATATTTCTTAAGTACAATCAATTTATGCCAGTTGATATGAAAAGTTCTCATGGCTCAATATGTTTATGATTATTATGATGGTATAAAAAGTTGCCTTATGCCCAAAGTGCAAGACCCATAAGAGCAACAACTGTTGGCCTAATAAACGGTTTTGGTAGGGGCCAAGTACTTATTGGCGCCGAAATGCATTTTTGTGGCATAAATTCTGATAATGCCATTAAAATGTAACAAATTTTCGGCAATTTGTATTTTTTTTTATGTTTTACTCCCTTTTTATTTGTTTTACTGGTGGTTGTTGTGTGCCAGCTGTTTGGCCGGAACCGCAAAAAAAATGAGTAGAAGAAAATGAGGAAGAAACTAAATAAATAAATTAAGGCAACGTTAAGAATAATACCCCAATTAATCAATGAAACCCATAATTCTCTTTGCAGACTTCCTGGGCGAGTTTAGCAGCGTGCCGTCGATGCGGCGGCGGCACCACCCGCGTGGCACGAAGCGCGGACGACCACGTGGCAGCACGAGGCGCGGCGGTGGCCATGGATCGCTGCAGCGCGTGCCAACGCCGAGCTCGCCAGCGGTTGGAGCGTTGATGGCAACGGGAAAGATCAGCTCGCCGCGGCCACAGCAGGAAGCGGGCAATGCCGGCGCAAGTGGCGAGGCTGCAAGTGGTGCGACCGTGCCCGCTCACGAGGAAGGTAAGTGCAGCCAGTGGCGTTTTTATTGATCAGCTTCCTGCTAGGCTACCCTGTTTACGTGGACTCGAGTGTCACTTGTCGCTAATCGTCGATATAATCACGTTTAGTGTTGCCTCTTAGCATACGCACAAACACAGCGGCATCTCTCTCTCTCACTCTCTCAACAATTGGGCACACTTGAGTGGCGCTTTGTGGTTGCTGCTGCCCCACACTTCGCTTTGGTTTTTGGCTGCCCGCATTAATCGGCAAAGGGGGAACAAACTTCACTTGTAGTACGTGACAATTTTGGCGCAACCCAAACCATTTCCATTATATCATCATCCGATTCAATGGCATTTGCTGCTCCCCCTTTGCTTGAATGCCGGCAGCATGCTCGCCCCTTCACGCAGTCAGACCAAATATTTGTTCAAAGATTTGCATCTGGCTGCATTATCGCTGATGTACAAACAGAAACAGCCCCCGGCGCAGTTGATACTGCCGAGCACTTCCTAAGTGCTCATAATTGAAGCGCTGCTCTCAAGTAGTTTTGGGGTCTTTGAGTTTTGGATCTAGCTCGCTGCTTCCTGTTTTCTAAGTAAAAAATAGCGTTGGGTTATTTAAATGATTTATATATGTTCATACAGCTCCCAAATAATAATGTATCAAGGTAGCTTCTCTCTCATTCAATATACGCCTTATTTCTTATAATATATTATTATATTATTCCTATTTTCTGGTCTAACTCAATTAGCTAGTTTGTAATGCTTCAGATTGGCTTCTAGGCACACATTCTGATTAATTCCTGCCCATTTCAATCGATATTCATAGTCATTCACAGCAATTAGCAGCGGCTTTCAGATTATGCAAACAGCTGCTCAACTTTAATGCCACAAATTTATGCAACGAGCAAACACATTTGAATTGGGAATTTGTCAAAATTTTTGCAACTTCTTTTCATATTTTTCGCTAAAAACACGTTGGCGCACATGTCCAATTTACACGACAAATGATAATTGCATAAATCGGCTTAAACGTTCAGACGCACAACCAAAATGCTGCTACGAGTGTGTGTATGTGTGTTGGTGTGTGTGTGTGTGCCAGACAACACGTGACATAAAATAACTTCCTTTCCATGAAATGGATTTTAAATCAGAAAAGCAAATTACAGAAACGGAAATGAATTGATCGACCTTGAGATGGCCTATAATGTTAGTTAAGCGATAATTTCAATATTAGCTAAATATATATATATATATATATATATATATATATTTTTTAATCTATATACAATATAAAAGTATATCGAATAACAGAAATAACTAAAACTATTACAGGCTAACTTTCATTTATATTTGATCATTTTGTGATAAAACGAAAAATGTTAAATCTCCTCAAGATTAAGTACAGTATAGGTTCTTTCAAGTTATTATTCTACATTGCTGTACAAACCCGCTCAATCCATTATCGAGGGCATTTAATGACAGCGTTGCTTCAATATATCACTTAACCACATTGAAGTACGCTCGCTGCAGCAGGACATTGTTGCCAACCAGGGCTTGGTCTGGTGCTGGCAATGAAAATGCGCGGCGCTTAAAAGTATGCAACATTGTAGGCAGGAACAGAAACGAGGATGTGGCAGGATGCAGCCGGAACGTGCAGGCGCAAGCAGCGGGCGCATTAGCGACAATGTTGCCGCCTGCCTCCGCCCGGATTTCATGGCCTGCGCCGGCTAATGGAAAGCGCAACCGTCAATCTCATTTACATAATAATTACGATTATTCAAATGCAATGCGTCGAGCTCGTGTTAAGTCCACACTCATAAAAATGTTTTTTTTTCTCTCTCTCTTTTTATTTGCAGACGTTAATCGCAATTTAAGTGCTACTCCAGGCGCAATGGGCACGCCAGCCACCGCGGTGGTCAAGCGAGGACCGGGACGTCCTCGCTCCAAGACCGCAACGCCTGTGAGTCGTGGCACGCGGGGTGCACCGCGGGCACGCCGGCCCATGGGGCCGTTGCTGGTGCCACTGGGGCGCAGTCCGGATGCCACGCCCCCTGGCAGCAGTCCGGCCACAAGCCGCGCGCCCAGCCCCACGCCGCACGGCGAACGCAGCGCCGGGGCACTCGATTAACTTGAACAATTCCAGTGCGGGAACAGCAGAAGGAAGCCAAAGCCTTGCAGTCACTGTGAATGGCATTAAAGGTTCTCGAATCAGCTTGAAATTTGTTGAAAATGAATGACAATTCTAATAAATCAGATAACTATTGAGATAATTAAAAATTATAATTAAATACCGAGTGTTAATTACAACAATCTTATTGAAGTTTATAATATGAGAGAAGCAATTTTTTAAGAGTTTTTTTTTCCCTTAAACTAAAATCAGACTTAGCTCAATCTGCTTCTGCATCATTGCACGCTATTTATGCGCTGACAAGGACATCTGACGTATCAAAGGAAAACCTAGCAGGACAGCTGGCGCTCAGCTTCTATAAAGCTGGCTGTGCGCTGAGTGAGTAGCAGTACATCCATTATACCCAAGAGCCATGCGCCAACGGTGACTTTGTCTTTTCTGAAATAAATTGAATTAGAGACGCCGAACGCGCACATTCATCAACGCTGCAGAGCCAGAGACGGAGACAGCCGCCTATGATAGATGGTTTTAGTTTGCCTCCTAAAAAATGCAGCAGTAGGTACGCGCGTAGACAAATAGTAGGAGTAGACATTTTAATTTCCGAAAAATAGCTGCTACGAAAATAGATCGAGAGAGAGAGAGAGAGAGAGTGAGGGAGAGCTGGCTGCCAGCTGAGGGCCTGCGCAGGCGGTTCCTCGAGGGTTCGGCTTCGGTTTCTTCGTCTTTGGGCTTAAGTGCTCAGGCGAAGATGATGAGAGTCCCACGACATTGTTGCCTAGAGCTGGGGTTGACTGAATTAGAGCATACTGTGTTTTTTAGACGAGAAAAATAAGTAAAGGGATGAGCTCTATAAAGATGCTGCATGCCAGCGCACACACCTTCACGATTTGCCGACTGTCTTGTCTATTGCTTGTGTGCGTGTGTAGGCAGCGGAAAGGATTTGATCCTGCAAACAATTAAGAAGGAGTATGCACACGCTTGGATCTCGGCTTGAGCCCCGCTTGCTTTGTAGCTGCAAAGGAAAAGGAAAATTTAATCCTTTTGCTTATTTTTTCAAGGTGTGGCCACGCAATGTGTGCGCACGGGGCGTACCCCTACGTTATTGTCCTGATTTATAGAGCGAGCATCTTGGCCTCAAATTAAGGTAGCAGCTTCCAGTTAGAGGCGAACAAAACAAAAAAAAGGATTTAAGTCCGCATTTTGTGGCTTATTAGTTTCGCTGGATTAAATCCCAAGAATGGGTGCGGCTGCCGGCACGGAAGCAGCTGCCTGTATAAGAAGCGTTAGCTGCACAGATGGAATTACGGCTACTGACTAAAATATTTACTCTTACTCTGTGAACTGGGTTCTCCAAGGTGAGAGTGTTCCATTTCCATCTGCTAGTCAGTTAAATTAGATAATGCACATTTCACTGCACTGCTAACTGCCCGGACGTAAATCGAAAACAAGCCAACGGCAGCGGCATCAATTGTCGCCAAGGAGCCGAACCTGTTGACGGCCTTTAAAAAATCTCTGTTTTCCTGGCTGGAGCACAGCAACAGCCACTGTTGCGATTGAAATGCTGTTTGTGGTTTTTTAATTGAAGAAATAATAATGCACCAGTGTGCGTTTGTCTTGCACTGTGTGCTGTCTCGGCTGCACTTGCAGTTAAATCTCAGCTTTTGCCGCTGTGCGTATGTCGGAATGGGGATGGCTGCTAATTAATAAACGCACTGCCGGCAGGGAGGAAACTGGTAAACAACAACTGGCGACGAGGCCGAGGCCGTGGACGCCCGTTGCCCGACGCCCGACGCCCGACGCCCGACGCCGTCGCAGATGCCACTTGGCATAAATGCACACTTTTAAAATTGTTGAGATTCTCCAACTGTAGCTAAAACGTGCTGCTTTATGACAGTCGGACTCGCAGCGTCTGCCCGCCGTCTTTGGCGAAGTCGCCAACTGGACGGCAGAAAAAGTTGCAGCAACCGCTTGCAGTCGGCATCAGAATATTAAGAATTGTCATATTGAAAAGACCAAGATGCCAGCAGTCAATGCCACAGAGAGCCACATCTGTTCGCAGCAACAGCAGCAGATAAAAGAGAGCGTAAGCCTTAGCTACTTACCTGCAAGCTCTTACTCTTACTCTTACATAAAAAATAATAATATAAATAATATAAAAAGTTAATTAATATTTTTCTAAGCTTGATTAGCAGAAAATAAATGTTCAAAATGTGCAAGCTATAAAAAATCAACTCGAAGAAATTTTTATTTTATTTCTTTTACATAAGTGTAATTTATATTTATTATATTTTTTATATGACTCATTGCTAGTAAAACACTAAGCTAATGGACCCGAAGAGAGTGCAAAGCACAGTGCCCACAAATGTTGCATAACAAGTTGTCAGGTCTTGTTGCTTGTGAGTTATTGTCTGTCACAGGAGCGTGTCCTGATTATTTTATTAAGCGGAATGCCTCAACTTATTATTATTTTTACCGTTTAGCATTCATTTGTACGTCTTGTCCGAATTTTCATGATTTTTGGCTGTTACAGTTTTGTGTATACAAACGAATTATGAGAATCATGCGCTGTAACTAATGGCCAAGCTTGATTTCTGTCTTCTTCTGCGAGTTTTGGGGCCTTCTGTTGTTCTCATAATTTGATTACAGGTTTTATATTATTATTATATGTATACCCCGTCTCTCAGGGGTTGTCGTTGCTGATGTTGTTAGTGCCAGAGTGCTTGATTGTTGCGCTAATTTAATGTCATGCACACTTAATGGCTGCGCTTCTTGAACTCAACGCGCGGCGGGTGTTGATTACAACAAACAAACGCCACAAAAATGAAGGAAATTATATTTGTGTTGTCTGCGCGAGAAAAAGCAAATTTGATTTTATTACAGCGCACATTTGTTGTTGTACAATTATTTTGCCAGACGATGCGTGAATGAGTCAAATGCGTCGTTGCGTGGCTCTGGCTTGGGCATTTTGTTTGCTCTCGTCAAATACAAATGACTTAGGAAACGAACTTGCCAAGGGAAATGCTTTAACAGTTTTACAAGTTTATTAATTTATGCCCCATAGTAAAACTTTGCCTAGTATATCAAATGTGTTATAAAATCTAATTAGATGCCGAAGTGACCTTAATGTGCTACGCAGTTAGTAAATTCTTAGGGCATTCATAAAAATTGCTCTTTATTAATTTTTTTTGGGTGATTGTCAAATTATAGAGATTCCCTATTCGATTTGACTGTGAAACGTGTTCATATAAAAATGTATGAAAAAAATAATTGGGATTATTCCCATAGAGCAGGACAGAGCCGATTGCCGTAGTAACTTGTTAACTTAATTGACTTCAGTTTTTGTTAAAACTAATTCAATAATGAAAACATATCAATAAACACACGCCGCTGCCGCTGCCGCTGGCGCTGTCGCCGACTCTGCCGCGTCGCATCGCGTCGCGTCGGGGACGGCAACTGACGGCTTTCAAAAATACTCGACTCGCCTCGCCTCGACTCGACTCGACTCGTACGAGCGCGCTCGAAAAGATGGCTCGGCCAGGCAATTGTGCAAAAAGCGCAGCATGTAGCTGACAGGAGCAGGAACAAAAAGCCATAGGAAAAATAATTAAAAAATTTAATTGATGCATTAAAGCAGGCAACAAGTTTTGCTTGTTGTTGCCTGCTGCCTGCTGTCCAACTGCAACTTTGTGGCTTTTGCTTTTTGCTTTTGTGGCCGGCTTACCCAGCCTCTTGGCGCCCGTACAAATTACAAGAGGACGGGCTAGAAAAAAGCTGAAAACTCAAACTGACTTGACTCAAGCTTCAGTCAGCACAGAGAGCCACACTATTTTTAACTGGCTGACAGGACCCGGGACTTGAGGTATCGTTAACCAAGTTAAAGAGCTCATTACGGGGCCGCCAGCGCAGTAACTTGGCCTTTACATACAGTGCGAGTCGCTTAAAATATTTACATTAAAATTGTTTGCATTGGCTGTGATGTTGTTCGAGGAATGCAATTTTGATTTTGATGATGGATGGCGGCGGTTTTACTTTTTTCCAAAGTCTGCACGGCTGGCATTCGTATAAGGTAAAAACGAATGACTTAGGCAGCAAACTTGAAGATGTACCTAGCATTGGCTCAATAAAACATAATGCTAATACTTCAATTTGTGAGACTATCAGATATTTTCGTTTGCATCGTCTTCATAATAAATCATGTTTATGAAAATATCTATATTTTGTTATTGAGTTAATTAAAGACCAGAGCTTGACTGAATACTGAGGTAAGTGCAATATTAAATAGTAACAAAAACTAACCAAAGATCCCCACATTTACGACTTCTTTCACAAAAGTGTAATAAAATATAAACTTTTTAATTTGCTGTCACTTGTGTGCAGAAGTTTTTCTTTCCTTTAAGTTTTGCATACATTGTTACGTAAATGCAGCAGGGCATAATATGCGAGTTCGCCAAAAAGTAAACAATTACTCAATTTAAGCGCGCCCCAGTGAAACGCTCTTTATCATTAACATATCGCATCCTGCGGATCTGGGACCAATGCGAACAATGCGAACAGCATTTTAACTGCAGCCGCATGCAACTTGACAAATATGCTTTCAGGTCTAATTATACACCAAAGAGCGAACCGCATGCGCATGTGCATGCTCACTGGAGCAGGCAGCCTGGCAGTCGAGTAGTCGAGTAGTAGTCAGGACAAGATGATCAGCAGCAACAACAATGCTGGAGACGCTGACCGAGCCGAAGTGACCCCAATTCCAATTCCAATTCCAATTTGCGGCCAACCCTTTCGGACACGTACGCAAACGACGCTATATAATTACGCGGAATGAAAATGTGAATGTCAACTGAGCATCAATAAAAAGGTAGCAAATTAAATTTTATTAAAATTTTTTATAACCTTTTGTATTCTTCTCTCTTTTTTTTTTTTTTGTGGGGACTTTTGCGTGTGAACAAAGTCACTCGTTCCATAGGCTTTTGCAAAAATGTCAGTCAGTGTCTTTGCTGCTCTGCGAGCTATGCAAATGTACAAAAGTGAAAAGAAATGCTTTGAGGTCTGAGAAATTTGGAAACATTTCAATTAAGTTCGCTCGTTTGGGGGCCCGCGACTATCA